GAGCCCGAGCCCAGCCCGGCCCGGTTCGGTTCGACGCGCGTGTGGGCTTCCCTTGGTTCTTTCATGGTGCATGTGTGTCCTTGTAATGTTTTGAACTCTACACAAGCTCACATTTATATATACACTACCAAAATGTCTCAAACTTTAGATGTGGGACATTTTAAGTGTGCATACATTAAACCAACATAAGGGCTTTCCCATTTAGCCCAAAAGCCTTATCTCATTTCACCTTCATATTTTAAACCCATTTTTCATATCCAAATGTCTATAACAAGTCCATTTGATTTTAATAAAAAATTGGTTTCAACAATGAGAAGTCCAGTGGTTACGGGAAGTATTTCTCCCAAAAAGAAGGAGACCATTGCTCGGAAAGCGTCTTGAAGTGATTGCATGCGACTCTTGTCTTTGATGATGGAAGAATCGAATGTTGATATCGCCGAACCAACAACCGCAGCAGCAAATGTCCACATTGCGATGTTCTTTTCGCGTTTCGTCATACTCCCCATGACTAGGAAGTAAGACGGAACAGCGATCACTCCACTAACAAAATTACACACAAGAAGTTTCGACCAATCTTCTTCTTCTTCTTTGCATACCTAAATCAACAATTTTAAATTACATCTTTAGAACATTTGGAGAGTTTTCTAAAATCAAAAAGAAAGTATTTATTCACATAGAGGTTGTAAATTCAAAAAAAGCCCTACCACTGATCACCCTACTTATCAAATTCCAAAATTAAAAGAAGAAGCCGTAAGCAGCCTAGATATCAATGACAATCAACATTTCAGATTATATCTTTAGATCATTTGGAGGGTTTTCTAAAATCAGCAAAAAAGGTATTTATTCACATAGAAACCGTTCAAAAAAAATTCCTACCACTGATCATCCTAATTATCAAATTCCCAAATTAAAACAAGAAGCCGTTAGCAACCTAGATATCAATCATAATCAACAATTTTAAATTACATCTTTAGATCACATTGGGAGGGTTTTCTAAAATCAACAAAAAAAAAAGAAGTATTTATTCACATAGAAGTTGTACATTAAAAAAAGGTTCTACCACTGATCATCCTACTTATCAAATTATACCAAATTAAAAGAAGAAGCCGTAAGCAACCCAAATATCAATCATAATCAACAATTTTAAATTACATGTTTAGACCATTTGAAGGGTTTTCTAAAATCAGCAAAAAAAAAAAAGTATTTATTCACATAGAAGTTGTACGTTAAAAAAAAGTCCCACCACTGATCATCCTACTTATCAAATTTCCAAATTAAAAGAAGAAGCCGTAAGCAACCTAGATATCAACCATAATCAACAATTTTAAATTACATCTTTCACATTTAAAGGGTTTTCTAAAATCAGCATTAAAACAAACATTTCCTCGTACTAATCAAAAGAAGTGCTACCACTAATTATTCTATAGGTATGTACTTATCAGATTCCCAAAAAAAAAAAAAGAAGCCGTAAGCAACCTAGATATCAATCGTAATCAACAAAAATAAAAATATACATTATAAGCCATGGAAAGATTGTAGACTAACCTGATCTTTAAACCCAACAAGAATGTCGCATAAAGCTTCAAGAAACAAAGTTGCTTGATGCACGGTCATATCTCGAACAATGCTAGTGATCAGTGGCGGAGCCACTTGAGATAAGAGGGGGGCACTTGCCCCCAATAAATTTTGAAATTTCTTTATAACTTGTTAAGATTTAATTTATTTTTCTTGTTTAATATAGTATTCTGCATCTATTTTATAGTGCTTGCCCCCAATGAAATTTGTGTCTGCTTCCGCCCCTGCTAGTGATCACACTCTTCCTTAGGTTATTTGCATCCACAAAGATTCTCACGTTTCTTCACGTCTCATCCTTTACTGTTTTTGCGGTAATAGGTTTCTTCAAGATCCGAGCCACATAACCTCTTTGTACGATCCTCAACCTTTCTAGAAGGTTAGGGACGATCATCCTTGTCCGACACTCGACCCCATTGATTCGTGTCAAGAGTTGGTCGGATGGCTCAGTCCATGCACTCAGAAACTCGGTAGAAAGATCCGCTTCTTGAGTTATGGCTATCGAAACATGACCGGAATCTTGCGTATCTTGATCAATGAAGGTCCGGAGAAGATTGGTGAAGATGTAAGGATATATATCCCCGAGTAATAGAAATGGTGTCTCGAGGGAAGATGTGGAGAGACGAGTAGGGATGGTTTCGTAGTATTTGTTGAGGTGGGAGAGGACTCGATCGATGTTGGTGGAGAGGACATCGGAGGAACGCGATTGCCGGAGGAGAGGGAGGTACGTCTCGGTTAGGGTTTTAGTTAGTTCTGTGTATAAATCTATAAAACCAGAAGGTTTCTTGCGGGAGAAGATTGAGAAGTTCATTGCCAGAGAAACAACGACAATGAAAAGAATTTGAGAGGGAAGTATTATTATACAGCTTTGTTTTTTCTTTCTATAAATCCGGTTTATATCGGTATACATGCGTTTTGTGTAGAAATGCGATACGGTTTATATGGGTTCAATAGATCCGGTTTATATCGGTATATTGGTTCAATTTGGGTTCTGTTTTTTTTTTGTTTTCGGGGTTCATTTTAATTTTAGAAATCTGAAAGATTAATTAGTTATCATTTATCAAGGTTCCTGGTTAAGCGGAGGGAGACGGTGATGAGGAGGCCGGAGATAATTTTGTTCGGCGATTCGATAACGGCGCAGTCGTTCAGATCCGGAGGGTGGGGATCTCGTCTAGCCGACGCTTACTCTCGGAAGGCTGATGTTGTGGTTCGTGGCTATGGCGGCTACAACACCAGATGGGCCCTCTTCTTGCTTCATCACATTTTCCCTCTTGTCAGATTC